ATTTTTGCAGCTTCACATCGTAGATGCGAAGCAGCAATGTCATCGAGTTGAGTCATGATAGTAAGAGTCATTTTCGGTAAAATCGAAGGTCATTCGGGCGAAAATCGGAGCTCATTTACGCGCGAATAATATAGCATCTAGGAAATGGAATTTGCATTAAAGGCTATAAAAACTGATAAAAGTCAATATTTGTATTGTTTTTGCGTGTTTTTATTATCATTTTCGCCTTTTTGGGATTATTCTACGATCCTCCGACCGGTAGCGATCTTACATCGTTTCACGTGATGGCTCCGATTTGTTATTGATTGATGTTATACTTTTCCATGTGCTTTCCTTCGCTTGCTGTTCAACTTCAACTCAAGGTGAGTGATATATCTATTTCATACAATGTTTTTATCCCTTTTTACATCAAGAATCAGGCACAGGTTTCTACGCGTGTATGAAAAATTGTTTGCTGAAGACATTATTTACTCTTTCAATGTAATGTGAACATCCTTTGAATGACCAATTTTTGTTATGTACATTATTATTTTAGTAAGTTAATTCAATCGTAATTACTTCAATTGTACCAATTTTATGTTTTCAATACATAACCAGTTAACATGTACTTCTGTATTTTATGTACCATAGACCAAGTTCAAGAATGGAACCTAAGTAAGTAAATACACTGAAATTTGCAATTCTTCGAAATCTACTCTGTACTTAATCAGATTTGTTCTCATTTAGAAAAACAGAAAAATCCAACAAAGATGATGGTAAGTTATAATTATTCTCTTATCTAAAGCATATTTTAGCTTATTTTCGAAATCCATTATTCTTTTCTTGTTTTCTTTTTCTTTTTTTTATTTTCTTACCCATGACATTCATCAATATTTGTATTATCTTGAAAAAGTGATGTTCAGTAATGTAAGTTGATTTTCATACAAGCACACAATAATAACAGTAGTTATATTGCTTTTTTGCTTTTCAGATGTCGACATCCATGGTTATATCCATAATTTAAGTCCAGTAAAGTCAACACATAAAACAAAAACSCCTTACTTCGACTGTATAGTTCAAACTRGTGAAGATGACAAAGTACGGGCAGTTTGTTATGATTTACACAAGAGATATAATATCCAACAGGCATTCCAAAGCAGGTCACCTGTCAAGATATCAGCTACGAAAAGATTGCCAAAATCAAGTTTTTCCAATGACAATGAAGAATACAAAATTACAAAAAAGTCAAAGATAATGCCATCATCCTCCACAGACTATGACTATAATGATGAAATCACATCATCACGTGTTACAATAGGCGAGGCGTTACAAGCAGACCTATACAAATCTGTAGATGTCCTTGCCAAAGTGATGTCCAAAGAAGACAAAAATACTGTCATAACAAAACAAGGAAAAAGACTGGTCAAAAACACTTGTGTCATAGCTGATGCGAATGATAGCATCCAATTATCTCTCTGGGAAGACCACATCTCCAAGGTTCAACGTGGAAAAACATACCTATTTAAATCAGTACGTGTCAGAGTGTTTGATGATACAAAGTACTTAACAACTAATGAGGCARCTCTTATTGAAGAACGAGACGATTTGGCAGATRTAAACCTATCTTCAGATATCATAAAGGACAATATCCTTKAAGCCGCACAATGTATTGCAGCACTAATCAAAAAGTCATCTTCGTGCATAGTATGCAATACATCAATAGATTTAGATGAAGAAAACGAAGATACAATAACATGTCCATCGTGCCAGATGACAATGCTAGCATCTCTACTAAATGACAAGTTTGTTGGCACATTAGTCATCAAAACTCCTGAAGGAAAAAAGGAAACATACACATGTTTCAATGACACACTCCAGAGTTTTCTACTTTCAATAAACAGACCTGAGGCAGTGGATGATATACCTATTAAAGAACTACAAGACCTTCTTGTACAATCAGGGCCAAAAAACATGGTTGTTGACAATGCCAACAAGAGAATTGACCAATTTCTTCTGTAAAAAGGACTGCATGTTATATTAGACTTTGGCTTTACACTGGCATATCATCATTGTTGATAGAGCAACATTAAACAGCAAGCACTGAAATCTAAAAACTCCATCAAAACCCGTGATAGATAAAAGGAAACCTACACCTGCTTATAACACACTCCAAAGTTTTCTACTTTCAATAAACACACCTTAAAATAGACAGTAGATGATAAACTTATTACAGAACTTCAAGACCTCATTGACAATGCCAACAAAAGAACTGACCAATTTCTTCTGCTRTAAAACGTACTGCATGTTATATTGGCTTTAATTRATACTTATTATTGACACTGACCATCATTGTTTGATAAAGCACCATTAAACAGCAAACACTGAAATCCAACTAGTRCTAACGAAGTAGTGCAATGAAATTCTTTAATTCCTAAACTACATTTATTTCATGCTTTCAGAATGCAGATAGAGTGGTTTTCTTTAAACCTTRAAACAAAAATGTAATAACCTAAAGTATATTTTACRGGTTAATGAAAACCATTCTAATGAAAACATGAAATATGTCTACTTGACTGATCAAATAATGCTAAATTCTACTTAATTATGGTTATTCTTTATTTTCTATTCTATCRCTATTTAGCAGTATTCTGTTAGTTTTTGCTTTCAGTGTTTTGCACTTTACTGTTTGTACACTGTTATATAGCATATCGTTAACCCAGTTTTTTCGTTTGTTTGTTCACATTGTTCTTTTCTATTTAAAAAAATGTTAAAAAATCATACATGATTGCGTTTTGCAATGGATTAAATGCAAACCATTATATTAATTACATAACAGTGAAGCTGCATGCAGTCATTGACTGCGTATTTTTTTTTCGCATTCATCGCCAAATCGCGGCCAGACTAGCCAGGCGTTCCTAGCCTGTCTTGTCTCGTCCCATGCTTCAAGTGCAAATTGCATCAGCTTCTTCGTCGATGGGCTTATGGTATTTCTTCTTCTCAAAAAATACGCTCAAATCACTCACAAATCCACACGCGGTATAGCCAC